TATTTTTTATCTTAGAACATTTTCATTTTCAACCCAAAACTCTCCTTTTTCCCTATTTTTTTTTTATTTTTAGTTTTTTCTTCTCTTTTTCACATCTCTCTTTTTCTTTCACCTCTTTTGCCTTTTGGTTCAATCTATCATTCTCCTATATTAAACCCTTATTTATTTTCTCTCACCCTATCTTGGCATTTTCTCTCTAGCTTGGCTCTTTTTATCTGTTGATTTATCCCTCTATTTAAAGGCAACAATGAAACCTTTCTTGATAAAATGATCATAGCCATTGGTTTTCATGGGTTAATCTTAACCCTCTATCATGGTTGTATACTTTATCCAAGCATGCTTGGATTGGCTTTTTTACATTAGTCTTAAAGAATTTAAATATGTGTTTTTTGTTGAAATAAAATACATATACAAGGAAAAGAAATTTTATGTTGTTAGTAATTTTTAAGGTACGAGAAAGATAAGAAAGAGATTAGAGTCCAGCTAAAGCAATGAAAAAAATGAAAACAAATTACAATAATCATGCATGGGATGATGATATTATTCAAAAGTGTGTAAAAAAAAATAATATTTTTTTTGTGATTTTTTTATTTATTAAAATGGTGTCAAACAACATTGTTTTGTACATGACACGTTATTTCATTTAAATATAAATTTCAGGTTTTCAAACAAGCCCCTCAATTTGTTATTTTTTTCAATTTAGTCTTTGAATTTTTAAATTTGAGCAAATTTCAACCCTTTTTTATTTTATTCAATTTCATCCATGATAGCATAAAATGGTCTCTGCATTTGGGCACCTTTTCTAATTTGATTATTGACTTTTTAATTTTCAATTATGTAGTCAATTATAGCTCTTTTTTATTTTTAATTTCATCACTAATTGCATTTATTTATTTTTTTAATTATTTTTTTTATTTTTTAAAAAAATTATGTGGTTGAAATCTATTGAGAATAATTTTTGACACTAGATGAAGAGATATGACCAATCATAAAATATAGCATATTTATATTTTTAAACTCTAAACATGATCAATTTAGATCTAAATTTTAAAAACGCCCACGGATTTCAATAAATTAAGTTCTATATTTTTCTCCACACAATCAATTTAATTATATATGTATAGAAGTATTTTAGCTGAAAAACAGGGTCACTGGTGATCCTCGACTGTGCTACCTAATCAATATAATTTAGTTCGCTAATGTCATATTTTAATTTTAATGTAATGAAAACAAATCATGAAGGTAATAAAATACTGGTCCATGAACCTGCAAGAGATAGCTGAAGAATTTCGGCTTGAACAATCAGCATTTAAGGGTCCTAATTGAAATAATTTATTCAATTTAAAGGACTCAATTACTACAGATGTGAATTGAG